TGAAATGTGTCTTGACAGTGTTGGTCTTTTTCTTAGAAAACTGACTGCCCACAAAATGGCAGTTTTGCTGAGGGAGGCAAACAAGATAGAAGACGGGAGAAGACCATCTTGCTGATGGTCGAGGTTTAGACCCAAGAAAAATCCCTGCATCTGTGATATCCCTGATTCAACGCTGACAGTGAGTGTGACCAGGAGTGGGAAAGGGGGTTCATTCCTAACTCCTTGTTCACCTCAAGAAGCACAAGAGTAGGAGTACCGTTCTCCCCCACAACACTCCTCCAAAAAAATGCCAACCTTTCAAAAGTGATTCAAGTCCAAAACCTCAGGGAATTTTTCTTTTTTTTAAAAAAAATGTTAATCCTGTGAGCAGCTGCAAATATAATTTTCCCAATGAGTTTGAGGGAATGTTTAAACTCACCCCACAAGTCTCTCTCTCTCCTCAAGAACCACAAAGAACTCTGAGTGGGGGTGGGGTTGTTGGGGAGGGTGTGCTGTATGTGTAGAGCTCAGAGTTGTTCTGCTTTTCTCTCTCTCTTTGTCCTGTCCTTCCCACCGCAGTTAAATTTAGATTGTGAGCTTTTTTTAAAAAAAATTTTTTGCCCTCGCTTGAATCATAGCTCACCATACTTCAAAACTATTGATTTCAAATTGATATGATTTTTTGTATAAATATGAGGGGAGAAAATTATTGTAATGAAGTTAAGTGTAGAAAAGATGAGCATTTTTCAAATCATGAATCTGCTGCACTGTCGATGCAGGGGGAAGGAGGTCCTGGGAGCTGTTCAGTTAATATCCGAAGGAAAGGTTAAAAAATGATCCCATATATTCCCAATAAACGTCTGTCTTTTCAGAATGCTCTCCCCAAAGCTTTGCATATGACCTTTACATTCTGATCCACCCCCGCTTGACAGGGATTGTCCGCCCATGATCTTTAAGGCAGGATTTGACAACATGCTATTCCAATACTGGCACTTCACAAGATGCAACAAGGGTTGTTCGTGTGAAAGAAATTTGATGTCCACTGCTTTTCTTAATCTTAGAGAAGATTAGTTTCAGGTGCACCTCAGCTACTTTCACTTTGGGTCAGTGAAGTACAGTAATGTACCTCACTGCTATACAATCGGTTGCGTTCCTGGCTTCCTCCATCCATCCTTCTTGGCCCCTCTCTGCTACTCACTCCTTGCCACAATCCCCTTCAGATTGTTCTGCTCATTTTGTCCCTCGGGTTCTCACACGTGTAAATTTGTACAGTGGAATATATTGTCAGTTTGCTATAGAGCATGGATACAAATTTTGATAGATAATTCTGTAAAAGAACCTATTCTGTGTAAAGTTATTTAAAGACCTGTATTATAAAGCAAAGTATATGTACTTGTGAATATGGGAAACAAGCTATAATAAAGGAACAACTGCATGGAATTCTGTTCACTCAGTGTGAGTTATTCCCCATTGTCTGTGCTATTGTCAGGCTGAGGTCACCCTCGCTTCATGGTTGGGTGTAGCTGAATTCCAGGGCTGTTTCTGCCAATGCCCTGCATATCTATCTTTGGTCTTCAACCCCACACCCTGATCTGGTAAGCTTTTATTTTTGCATGTGAGTTTTTCCGCAACCTTGCTGTACAATCTGATAAAGTTTCAGTTCTCAGGCAAGTATTAAGACGAGTGTCGGAATTGAGTCAACTCGCTTGGTGATGGTCTTTTGTCCGGTTTCTGTGCTAGGCAGAGCTCCAGGGCACTGCTGATGACAGAGCACCCAGCCTGGCTCATTGATGGATAGGAACAGGCCAAGCATTGGGAGCAGGCAGTTTCCTCATTCAGCCCAGTTAACACTACAAGCCAAAGCCCAAATGGGTTGTCAGGGAGTTGGACAAACAATGGGAAGCTTACCAGAAAACACTCAAAAAGACAAGCTATGTGTTTTTATCTGGATTCATTCCAGCAGTTTCCCCAGTAAAGCAGAGGTCCCCAAACTTTGATCTTAACACTTTCTGGCAGGAAATGCATATTCAATTCCAGACAGACACCAACTGACCAAAAAAAAAGCAATGGAGTATAGGAGAGAGGGCACACCTGCCCTCCACAAGGAAATTCATAAAATCCAGACATTTCTCCCATTCCCTCAGTATTCCCTCACGTGATCACCTAAGAACTTGGTATTGTTCACCTACTAAATTTAGATTCTCCCTAATGTGTTGTTCCCTCTCCGCCCTGTTCTCAGCAGATGTCAGGCACAGGTACCCCATGGTGAAGTCGTGACACTGGCTGCTCAGTGGATTCTCCCACTGAGGTAGCGTCTGGCCTCCACTCTTGCACTGTGGCGCTTGGACTGAGAACTCACTTGACTAAGGAAGGGGAAGAGCAGAAGCTGCCTCGAGTTTTCTATTTAAGTGAGGCAACAGCGTTGCCTTCCAGGACTTCTTGGGTGGGGGCAGGGGTCACACAGGTCTCTACCTCACAAGAAAACCCATTGCTCTGCTTGAAGGGTATCTACCCCAGACCATAATGTATATAAACCCCTTACCCACAGAAATCAACAAATAAAAATGGTATGGACAGCGCACTCACCCCAGAGGCACCTTCTGCTTAATTCCATAGTACCCATCAGATCCTTCTGTTTTCTCGCTCTGCTCCCCACTGTTAAGAGGGGCAATTTACTAAATAACATCCTGGGCTGAGGTTTACAAGGCATGTATTATTTTGGGTGTATATATAGAAGCAAATTGATAGAATACCTCTTATGCAGTTGTAGCATATTCACTTTAATAGTTTGCTCAGTTAAAGTGTTGCTTTTAAACCTTCCTAAATTATATTTAAATGATATACAGACCAAAAACACTGCCTCAAGTTTTCATAATTCTAGCTTACAGAATTGATTGTTGACTGGTTTTCTTTGTCAGATTGCTCCCCAATTGACAATACTGTGTTAAGCTTGTACATGTTACAGGCAGAACAGCAGCCCATCAAAGGTACATCTGTTCATTTATCTGCTGTTGTGGATGACTATGATTGACTATTGTAAACCTGCTGAATGAATGAATAATCCTTTCTCTTTAAATATAGTAAACTGAAAATCTGGAATTTAAATCTTTGCAATTCATTTTTGGTCTCAACATTTGGAAAAAGTAAGTAATTTCTGAGAATAGGTTTTGTGATAGTGCCTCACAGTAAACCTGAATTAAATTTCTTCACACCATTTATTGTGAACTGCAGTGACTGAATTTTGTGGGTGAACACAGAAACCAATTTTACACACACTGCCATGTCCCCCACAGAGTGAATGACCATTTTTACTGGGGAATTGTCAGTCAGGACACCAGGAGAAATGCCCTTTTCAAATTGTGCCATGGGTTCTTCAACATCAACCTGAACAGACAGATCTGTTAAAGATCTCACATATGGTGGGACCTGGTAACCTCATTAATGTAGCTGCATTAATGTAGGGTTTGTACACCTCAGGGACATTTTACTTAACACATACAAATATCCAGCTACGTTGGTAATTATGAATTTTCTCTGGGTGTTTCACTAGTTGTGTCCTATTGAATTGTTTGGAATGTAGGTTGCAATATAACAAGGTAATAATAATATTTACATTTGGTATAGCTCCTTATATCTTCGAGGAGTTTCAAAGTACTTCATTTTGTGGGCAAAATGTGCAGCCAACTGTACCATCCCATAAACAGTCATGAATTGAATTACCAAATTATTATTATTTTTTTGAAGGGATTATTTCCCCCAGAAAAGCAATCTGCCAATTGATTAACAACCGGGTTCCTACTTATTGCTAGGTAAATAAAGTAGACAAATTATCTGCAAGGAATTAAAAATGTTTATTTACATTAGAATTCTCCATAGCAGGAATTCAAGGCAATAAAAATCACTAAAATTTAGAGCTATGCAAGGAAGTGGTTGGTCCTTTTGCTCAATACAGATTGGTGGTTGCACCAAATGGGTATAAATTTCACTTCTTAAACTTAGACCTTCCAGTTAGATTTTGTAACATTCCTCCCACTTCAAGTGCTGTACCAACCCAAAGGGCTGGTGAGATGGTGGTGAAAAGTTACTCAGTTTGAAAGCCAAGCTATGGTGTTCCCTCATGGGGTTTGAACAAAAAAAAATGGATCAATGTCACAACTGCACCAGAAATCACTGATCCAAAAAGCGGTACAGTTTTGAAAATTTTCAACCCTGCTTCCTGCCATTTGCTAACACACCCAGTTAGCACCTGGTAAATTGCATAACCCATAAATATGAATGCATTTGCTCCATTGCTAGGAGCAGCACCTCCTGTGGGTGTAAACTGGAAGCTTCACAAAAAGATAAATTTAAAAAGGTTTTTAAAAAAAAGTTAAAATTTCTGCAACAATTCAGGCAGAGACAGACATTTCATTGGTGTTTCACTTCAGGCACAAAACCCAGAAAGATAACGAAGTGGATTTCAATTCATGGCAGAATTTGCAGCATTTGAGATGCAGCTGTCGTTTATCAGCTTTAAATGTAATGGTTCTCATGCAGGCTTGTACAGGACCAACCAACAATATTCTGGCCTCCAATTTTCAATCGTGCTGCACTTTATATAGGTAATAGGTCACATTACTGCTTGAATAAAATCAGGGTATTTTGTGCAATGCTCCATCAGGAATTTTCAATCTAAAGGATCATTAAAATGTCCTTTTGCAATAAGGCACTTGAATATCAGAAAGAATGCACCCTGACTGAATCACCAGCAGAATATGGTAGAGGTCAACTGACCCAGCACAAGTAATAATAATAATAATCCTTGCATTTGATATAGCGCTTTTCACGTCTTCTCGATGTCTCAAAGCGCTTCACAGAATAGACTGTAAAGTGAATTGACTGTATATTTGTGGGCAAAACGTGGCAGCCAATTGCGCACAGCAATGTCCCACAAACAGTCGTGGATTGAAAATGACCAATTTATTATTTTTTGTTTTGGGGGTATTGGAGTAAGCTGGTTCATCAGGTTCAAGTCTTTCCTGAGAGCATTGCACAGAGATGGCTTCAGTAGCCACCACAGTTGAAGCTCACTGACCGATTGCTTCTGCCTCCCACCAACCGTTGGTTCTTCTTCCCTGGCAAGAGGTCCTGCTTCCAAGGGTGGAGGACTTCTGTGAGGTCTGTCCGAGGGAAGACCTGCGACAGCCGAGCTTTCATCAGCTCCCTGAATATGTGGGGGTGGGGGGGAGGGCAGAGAGAAGTAAATGGTGTAAAATTTAATTCAAGTTGCAAGCAATTCATTAATTCCTTAAGAGAAACTCACAGTGTCCCCTGTACACATTGCACAATGCCCCTCAACACTGGTCTAAACTGAGTATTAGATAAAGACGCTGATTTGCTGAAGTAAGGGGATGGAAGAAGTTTTGCCCACTCCCTGATCCGTACAGACAGTTTAATGGACTTCTAGAATCATGGAATTTTACAGCAGAAGAGGAGGCCATTCAGCTCATCATTCCTGCTCTTTAAAAGAGCTACCAACTCATCTCACTTCCCTGCTTTTATCCCATAGCCCTACAAATTTTTCCTTTTTAAGTACCTATCTAATTCCCTTACTATCGAATCTGCTTCCACCACCCTTTCAGACAATGCATTCCAGACCATAACAAATTGCTGGATAAAAAAAATTCTCCTAGTCTCCCCACTGGTTCTTTTGCCAATTATCTTAAATGTATGACCTCTGGTTACCAACCCACCTGCCAGTGTAAACACTATATATGTAAATATAATAACCAAGCAGGTGGAGGAGTTCAGGAGGTACTTCTTCCCTCAGAGGGTGTTGGTGTGAATGTGGAACTCACTGCTGGAAGCTGTGTTTGAAGCAAATCGCATCAATTTAAGAGGAAACTTGATGGTAATGTGAGGGAGAATGGAATAGAAGGGATAAGGAGGGTTAATCCTCATATGGGAAATAAACAAAGAATTAATTAAGCCAAATGGCCAGTTTCTTCCTGTATTACAAGCACTTTTATTTAGTCTAACAACTGTCATTAGTGACTTAGTGCAAGGACAATAGTGTGCATTTGAATCTGAATCTTTGAGTAGACAATTGTGTTGTCAATCCAGTATCTCACCCACATTTTGTACAAATGAGAAGGTGCCACCTGACCTTTGAAGCATTTGCCTCAATCATGGTTTCCATTTATTTGAAACTTGACTTCTAGATGAAAAAAAAATCCTTCCATTTGGTACAATACTTCAAGAACTCTGAAAGCACTTCACAACCGATTGCTGTGAAGTCCAGCGCGAATTGAAAGGCAAATGGACCAGTCTTCTTGTGCACATCAAGTCCCAGTCATGACAAATAGCTGCAGAGAATTACTAGCCTCTTTTCCAAGTGGCGTCAAAGGATCTTCCACTCAACCTACAGACAGCCAAATGGATCCACAATGTAACCCGCGATCCCACAGGCGATGCCTTCAGATGGCAACTTTGAGATGATTGGGATGAGACTTTAAAAGGAGGTTCCACCAGTGCTGCACCAGAGTTCAAGCCTAGATTCTAAGATCAAATCCTGATGCCACTACAGAGGAGTTAGTTTCTCGCAGTGAGAAACCTCCAGATACAATTGATCATGGCTGTTTGTGGGTCATTGGTGAGTTCGGAAATTTTATTTCTGGTAAATAACATGATAAGTTCCCCTGCACCCCTGCCGCCCCCAACAAATTTGTTGTGTGCAAATTGCCTGCTGCTTTCATCTGCAAAATACAGTTTTGGGACAAACTCCTGACATGGATGGGACAAATGCAAACATTATTTAGTTTAGCTGAAGTGGGCTTATCAGGAAGCATTTTCCACTTATAGAATAGTGTTTGCTTTGAACATTTCAAATACCTTTCCAACATGGCAGTCCTGAAGCGTTCTACGTTGAGCTCCTTGCGGAGCTGTGCTGCTGATTTTCCCAGCGTTCTGCGAAGTGTGGGGTGTTTGGTCAGGGCAGCTGCTGAAGGCCTCTCAGTTGGATTTGGATGAACCATCAACTGGACGGGCAAGACATTTAAGGTCAGCTAAATGCTCCAAGATTGATATTTGATTGTATTATGACAAGATACAAAGGATAGGAAATCATTCAGCAGTAAGATTAAACTGGTACGGTCTTATCCAATGGACAGAAGTGCTCTGCACCCAATCACTGCTCTTTCCCTGTACTCACTGGGGCAGATCCTCGCAACACAAGTTGCAGATGAACTCTACAGCCCACGCACTCTCTCACAGTTTCGTGGAGGCTATCACCCCCATCTTTGCTTAGCTTCACTGCCTCCACATCCCCCAAAAATTTTAAAATTGCTCCATGGTCTTGCCCCACCTACCGCTGCAACCTCCACAACTCCACACATCCCAACCGATCCCCACTATTGGTGGATGAATGTTCAATCATTCTGCCCCCACTCTTTGAAACTCTGTAGCAGAGTCACTCCCCACTTTCAAAGCCCAATTTGTGACACCCCACCATCCCCTCCTCCCAGCTCAGTTGCCCAACAGACTGTGTAAAGCACTTGGAGGTCCTGCTTTGACAACTCCCTACCTCTTTGACCTGCTTACTCCCCACTCGCAACACCCATTCCCTCCACTGGTTGTATTCGACTGCGCTTACCATCACATCCCCCTGCTCAGCATAAGGTTGTCACGTTTACGTGTTATGTGCTACTCCATCTGAAGGGCGCAATATAACTGCAACTTGTTGGAGGTCCTCCCGATTTGAGATATGCAATATCAAATCAAGGCAATAATTTACCTTCAGTAGACCACAAAATTCATGTGACAACTGCAAAGGTATTGTAGGAAGGTTGCCTTTTCTGATGTAATGCCAGGCCATGTCATTGTGAGGCAGTCTTTCCACTCCTGCAGCCAGAGTGATGGTCAGACTCAGGGCAAAAATATCCGCTTTGGGCAAATTAGAATAGTCCTGAGGATAAGATGAAGTACAAACAAATATGTAAAATGTTTGATCATGGAGTACAAGGGATAAGTTTCAACGGGTTGAGTCTTCCTATCTACCTAGTGATGGCTCAAATCTACTCAAATGAACGAATAGTGATGATTCTCAGGGGGAGGGCGTGTAAGTGGGGTCTCCTTGGAGCAGAACTGGCTCTAAGGTGAAATCTTGACAATGAATGTCAGAATGGAGTCCACTCTCTGTGGCCATCTCAGAAGTTCAGTTTCCAAGCCAGGTGGGTCCTATTGCTCATGGCAGCCCAGCCAGCTTGGACATTCAATACGACATAGAGGAACAGATCAGTCACTGGGAGCTAACTTTCTTACCACTTGTTTCCTGTTAACATTGCAAGCCAAAGCACCAATGGATAGAGTATTCCTTGCAAGAAGCTTACTAGACAGTGCTTCCACTGGGAAGCTATGGAGCTTTTGCTGGTTCAACACCAGCAATACCTCAATATGTACTGTAGTGTCCAAGCCTTGGCAATTGCCAGCCTGCATCCAACACTCTCTGGAATTAGGTAGATAGGGTGCATCCCTACAGGCAGATGGAGTGCAGTCTATTTCAAATACAGGAATATCCATGTATAGGTAGGAATACTCTGAAGCATGGTGATAGATTTCCACATGAGACAAACATCCATCTGATCAAAAAAATAAAATTTACCTCTTGTAATATCTCATTGGCTAAGAAGCGGCAGTCTCCTTCCTCCACTTGGGGATTTGAGATTGAGGTCACATGCCCCAGGTCACCTTGGGAAAAATAATCATTGAAAGTAGAGGTGGTCTATATTTTTCAGCCTCCGAATGAAAGGACTGTGAACGTCAGCGCCTCGGGACATCCTCCCAACGTGAAAGACAGACACTATATGATTTTGTGGTTGTTGTGAGATAACTGGCATTGATCAGCAGCAAGGAATTCACTGCTGAGAGTCAATGAGAAGTTCAAATGCTGACACTCATTAGTTCTTTCCATTCTGCAGTTATCCTTCCGAGACTGAAGGATCAAGGCTGAATCAGGACACAATTGAATTGGACTCTACAGTAAACTCTGGGACAGATGTTAAGTACAAACTGGAATTTGGTTGAACTCAACTGTGGCTCAATTTTTAACCTTGTTAAACTCTGAATTCTCAATCCCTCTGCCTTGCCCCCTCCTTCTCAAGGTCACGCCTGAAGACCTCCCTGTTCAACTGTATTTGCAGCCACCTCCATCCCCCACCCTGCCTTAGTGTCAGGCTCCACTATGGTCAAGCCTCTGAGACACTACCATGCTAGAAGGGCACCACAAATGCAAGTTGTTGTCAATACTTAGAGATGTCCTCACAATGTAAAAGGTGTGGCATCAATGTAATTTGTTACAGTCGTCTGAACTCTTGACCTTCTCTGTAAAGGTTAGTGACAGCTGCTAATCTTCCCGCATGAGGTGTATTGGCAATTTACCTATTTTGTATAGTATATTTGTGGTCAAACCACCATCCTCGTCAATATCACTGTCTTCTTCCAAGCATCCAGACTTAGCATCAATCATTTTTTTACAAATGAAAATATTGCCTAAGGGGGGGAAAAAATGGCATTCAATGCTCATTGTTTAATGCACACACACACACACACACACACATATACACACACACAAAAAGAGTTCAACTCTCAGCTTCAGAAAGAAAGTGACTGGAAGACAGTCGCACGTAAATATTAGTCCCTGAACTCAACCACCTCCAAAGGAAACTGGTGACCACTGGTCCCACCTGGGTACGTGCCCTGGTTGATTGTGGCAGTTCAGGTTAAGCATCAGCAAACTTGCTTTAAGCTTCCAGTGCAAGCAGATATGTCATTGACACGACAATTTTGTCTAATATTCAATTGGAGTGCTAGGCTCATATTGACTTGCATACCTTAATTCCAGTTAGTCAGTTTTGTGTTACCACCCACCCAAAGTACAAAGTCTTTTTGGTTTATAAAGGTTTAACTTACCTTAGCAAAGCAATGATACACTTACATCAACACTCATTAATTATTAATTTCACTCATCACACAGTAATTACTTGCAGTCAGTCGCTCCCCAATTCTCATTTGCATTGAGATCACTTACTCGGCTTCACGTCCATATGGACCAGGCCAGAATTGTGGATGTATTTCAGGCCCATGGATACTTGCAGCAGAATCTCCTTCAATTCTCCTTCAGAAAGTGAAGTTCCTTTCTGCAGGTTCTCCATCACTACGTCTGCCAGGCTGCCACCTGCAGACGTGCGAAAGGCAACTTAGTTTCTCTCAATTGATTAAAAAGTTAAAACTAAATTGATCACAATGAGGTGAAAGTCAAATATTAATTTCACAAAATAATAATTTGATCACTCAATCCAAGACCAATTGTGGGACACTACTGTGGGCAATTGGCTGCCACGTTTCGCCCACAAAATATACAGTCACTACACTTTACAGTATGTTCTATAAAGCGCTTTGAGACATCTAGAAGACGTAATAAGGTGCTATATCAAATGCAAAGATTATTTTAAGTTCTGTCCTTTTGATCTTCTGCATATTAAAAAGACGCATTTCCAAGACCAGAGATTCAGCAGAGGGAATAAGCCAGAAGTGATGGAGACAATCAGGTTGGGTTTTTGAAAAGCTTCAGAACAAAGTTAAGACTCATTGACATGAAGACCCGGGCAGGGAGGAGTTTATTAATTACTCGCACATGGAACAGGAGGATTTAATGCTCAAGAGGAAGGAAAGAGAAAAACTATCACAGCATCAAATATAGTTAGCAAATAATATAAAGAGGACAGAGACTACAAGCAACAAGGATTGGGCATTACACAAGCCTTCTCCACTATCCTGCTCACAATTGCATTAAAAGTATGGAATTCTTACCTTCAACAGGTATGTTTCTGCCCTTGTTTGGGTGGAGGGGGTAAAGAAGGATGTTTAAAGTATAAAAGTATTGTTATAAAATAGACCGTTCCTATCCAGCAGATTAATTAATTTCTACGCCTGTGTCTCAAAGATCCACAAATGCCTAAACACACTTCATTGCCCACATCCAGAGACAAAACAGGCATTTGCAGTGCCCAATAAACCAAGAGAATGGAATCCTGCATTTCAAAGTGGATTTGCCCTCCAGGAAAGGTAATAAATAATAATAATAATCCTTGCATTTGATGCAGCGCTTTTCACGTCTTCTAGACGTTTCAAAGTGCTTCACAGAATATACTGTAAAGTGAATTGACTGTATATTTGTGGGCAAAATGTGGCAGCCAAACTGTGCTTTGAAATCTAAGAAAGGTAATAATGTATTTTTTTGTAAAGGTTGTTGAGTTTTCTTGGATGTCAAATTAACTTGGAATGAGAATTGACCGTGCTTGTTTCCCCCCCCCACCACCACTCTTCCCATCTTCCTCCCTGCCGGCTGTGTGAAACACTTCTAGATGTCCTACTCACTTGAAAGGCACAAAATGTAAATTGGTATTAATCCTACCATCGATACTTCATTAAATTACATCAGGACTGGTCTTTCTTTATTTCATATTGGTAATCAGAACATTGCTTAGAGGAGACATAAAATTTGTCCTTCATTCATTCTTTACATAGAATCTCATCATTCCCCTGGGTAACTTGCTTTAACAGGAAAATTAAAAATCCTGTTTGCACCGCATGGAAATTGTGCAGATGATTTAAAATCCGACAGCTAACCTGTAATAGGCTGATAATTGCATTTCCATCAGAATAAACTTTCACTACCTGGCTGATGTCTCAGGGTGAACAGGTCACAAAGTGCGTTACAGATAACAAGTCGTCATTTACAAAGGGGAAATAAATGTACATGTTTGCAAGTATTAATTTAACTTCCTGTTAATGGAAGTTTGAAAGTTAATTATAATGCAGTCATCCACATCTGCAGCGTATGCTTAAGAACCTCCCTTCATTGCCCCCACTCCAAAAGTGAGGTGGTGCTTCAATGATCTATAGATTATAGAAATGCATAAATACATTGACTTTCATTCGCAGAAACCCATCACCTCAGTGATCTTACCATTGCAGTACTCATTCTGAATGAGCATGTGATCATCCTCTGCCCATGCCGAGTAGTAACGCACCACATGGGGGTGATGTCCCAGCACAGCGTGTGCATAAACTTCACGGAGCGCTGTCTGCCTGCAAAAGCAAAGAGGTACGGACTCTTAAAGTCAGGGCAGCCCTTAACACAACCAGATTCCAATATTTCTACAGCACAGTCTGATCGATACACAAGTCACAGCCACTGTACTGGACTGCTCCCATTGCACGTTTTGAACAAAGGCAGCTCCATTCAGTTTTCAGGATTAACAGACTCTGCAATATTAGTTCAATACAGGTTACAGTTTATCAGGTGGAGACCAGTGGTTAGAGCGCTCGCCTCGCAAGCAAGAGATTTGGGTTTGATTCCCGGCAGGGTAAAACGTTGGGCAAGTTTCCTTACTCCTTACTGTTTACCAGCAGTAAGTAGGAACCCCGTTGTTAGTCGATTGGTGGATCGCTTTTCCGGGGGGTAATAATTCCTTCAAAAAAATAATAAATTGGTCACTTTATTATTGGTCAATCCCATGTGGATTGAAGTGACAAATAATAAATTGGTGACTTCAATCCATGTGGGACACAGCTGTGTGTAATTGGTTGCCGTGTTTCCCCCCAAAAAATATACAGTTAATTCACTTGTTCTGACGAAGGGTCATGGACCCGAAATATTGACTCACTTTCTGTGTGTGTGTGTGTGTGTGCGTATGTGGGAGAGAGAGAGAAAGAGAGAGAGAATCTCAGGATGCATCGGTTTCCTTGGTTGGTCCATGCAGCAGGAAGCATACCAGACAGTGTCTTCAGTGGTAAGTTGTGCCTCTAACTGATTAAACTCCACCAGTTACATGCAACACACTCTGGGATCCCCAAGCGTTGGCTCTTGCCATCCCACTATCTCGAGAATCAGGTCAGCAGAGTACTTTCCTGCAGGGAGAGTGTGCATTGTATTGTAAACCCATTTCCATGTGTCGGATGCAAATACATGTAGAACTCTGTTTGGATGTTCTTAAGAATGGTTTACACATGTCAGATACCCAGCTGAACTCCAAAAATCACTGTAAACCAATTTTTGAGGAGGACAATTTGTATCAAAACGTTTCATTTTTCTACCAGGACACTGGAGACCACCTTTGTTGATGTGGAGGGGCTTTATCAGATTGTAGTTGACAAAGCAATGAGGATATCATGCATTAATGGAGTCCTGTAGCTCAGTGGTTAGAGCACTTGCTTTGCAAGCAAGACACCTGGGTTCAATTCCAGGCAGGGCGAAACCTTGGGCAAGTTTCCTTACTCCACACGCCTAATAATAATCCCTCCAAAAACCCAAAACAATAATAAATTGGTCATTTTCAATCTACGACTGTTTGTGGGACATTGCTGTGCGCAATTGGCTGCCGCGTTCGCCCACAAAATATGCAGTCAATTCACTTTACAGTATATTCTGTGAAGCGCTTTGGGACGTCCTCCCGACGTGAAAAGCGCTATATCAAATGCAAGGATTATTATTATTATTATTATTATTAAATGACTATGTACTGCAACAATATTTGACAGTCTTTTAATAGAGTTGGAAGCATGATCTCTGAACAGGGACATGCAAGTTCAGCATACTGCAGACCCAATAGCACAGGCTAGAAACAAATGATAGAGCCCTTGTTCTGAAATTATAATTTTGTATTAGATAATCAAAGATAAACTATTCATCTGAATTGCTACTGCTATCTCACATGTCTCAGAAGAGGCGATTACATTTTCAGCTGCTCAGACAGATACCAAGACAGATGCTCAGATTGGCAACACCAATCAATTGCCTAAGGATTAATATAGTTGGCAATCCCTGTATCAGTGGGCCACAAGTACTCATGGTAAGGTACATAAAACATCTGTACCCAGGCAGTCTTTGATCAGCACTTTAGGTTGAAGAGATAAGAATTCCAGAACCAAGCACATATAATAGATTTTGAATTTTGCTTTTAAGGTAGCAAACACTGCAGCTCAATACTCACTCATCAGTTGACCCAGACAGAGGTCTTTTCAACCGCTTAATGGCATAGAGACAGCCATCCAGACGCTTGACACATTTATGCACAGCACCAAACTCCCCACTACCGATTTTCTCTAGCTCATAAAATTCTGTGGCATAGCGGGAAACCATATTTTCTCGGAGGTTCTGAATGAGAGAAAGGCAAAAAAGGCAACCAAGTCTTAGACACTTGTGCAGATAGTGATCTTCAGATTTGGTTATATAAAGGCATCCATTGGGGAACTGGAGGGGACAGGGAAAGGGAGGGGACGGGGTTTCACTAGTATGAACACCATAAAGCCTTTCTGCCTTTCTCTGCAGGAATTGCACAACTTACTTTAGAATGTAGCCGTAGATCATCAGGCATCTCATCCTCTCGCAATTCAACATCTCTCCTAAGATGATAAAGTACACAGAGTGCTCAGTTAAACAGCAGTTCTCGGGATGCTTTCGGAGGTGTGGGGGAGCTGTTGACCCACGGGAAGAGCAAGAGGAAATCTCATTTGCCCCACCCATTTAAAATGCTATATGTGCCAGTTAATTTTTAACCAGGACATTAAGCATTTTGGGAATGGAACATTCCCTTTTGCGGTGAATCTCGCTCGGGTGTTAGCCTGGTTGGTGACTCTCCTGCCTCATAGTCAGAAGCTCACAGGTTCAAAGCCCGTGTCAGGACTTGGAGCTCATCACCTGAATTAATATCACAAGGCTGGGCAAAGAATCGTCAGAGGTGCAATCCCTCAGATGAAACATTAAACTGAGGTCCCAAATGCCTGTTCGGGTGGACTGGAAAGATCACATGGCACCATTCAAAAAGAGGAGGGAGATTTTCTCAGTATCCTGGCTAGCAATTCTCAAGATAAAAAAATTGGTCACTCAATTCATAGTTTTTGAGAAATGGCTGTACGTAATTGTCTGCCATGTTTGCCTCCAACAACGTTTACTACCCGTTCCAGTAAAAATGTAATCGTAATTCTTTCATAGTCCTTACCTGGTTCTTTCCTCAACTCTCTTCTTTCTCTTCCCACTCTGTCCAATGCCCAGCTCATGGTACAGTGTTGGGGTGAAGGGATTCACATTCACTGATGGAACCTTGAAGTTGTCAGAGTTGGAATGAAAGCCTAATGGTCGACGTATTCTTGAAACAGGGCCTTTGTTGGCGGTTGAGAGTTGGGCAGCCTTTGAAAAGAGACTCTACAAAAGAGAGCAGATAGCGCATCAAACCCTTAGCTTGCATCAAGACCACCAATAACAAATTACATTTATAAAGCACCTTTCACATCGAGAGGACATTCAGTCTCGCAAGCTGGGGGTTGGAATCAGAAGAAGGCAAGGGAGAAAAGAAAAGACCACAGTGAAAGCAGCTTGATGCTTTAGTTCAAGGAATGCAACAAAAAAAGTGGCAAGCTCCTTTTTCTAACTAGACTTGAAACCATCAAATTTATGGATCAACTGTCAGATAATTGATGTCAGGGTCGGATTTAATTTGTATTGCAGCTTTAGGGAAGATCTAACAGGAATTGACTTTCAGATTTATTTGTAAAAAAAACCTTCTGGTAGCAGCAGAAATGTCTCCCCCGGTAAAGAAATTAAAGTTAGTAAATGAAAATCTAATGGAATGGTAAGGACAGAAAACCTGCATTGATTCAAGTAAAGTGTTGCGAGAGTGGGAATTGATAGCACCATCATCATTGGAATATTGCACATCATTGGAATATTTTAGATAAGCTTTAGATCAGGTCTCCAAAGAACAATCCCACCGGTGTTAACAGGGCAGCTTTGTATTCCAGCTCTAGTCGGTTTGGATCCCAATGATGCATTGGGAGCAAAGGTTTGTTTGAAAGATAATGTTATGTAACAGTTGAAGAGCTTTGACAAGCTGTGAAAAGCATTTGTTGTGGATAGGGAAGCATTCAGACTTTGATTTCCCCACACCATATATTGAAGAGTCCTTGGTAATTATAATAATAATTTTTGCATTTGATATAGCACCTTATCACGTTAGTGAGATATGTCAAAGCTCTTCACAGAATGTACTATAAAGTGAATTAACTGTATATTTTGTGGGCGAAACACAGCAGCAATTGCATACCACTGTGTCCCCCAAACATTGATGGATTGTGTGCCCCTTTTTTAAAAAAAGGGATTATTAATCTTGGAATGCGATCCGCCAATTGGGTTCCTACTTACTAAGTAAACAGAGCATGAGGAGTAGGGAAACTTGCCCAAGGTTTCGCCCACCCGGGAATCAAACCCCGGTTCTCTCAATTGCGAGGGCTCCAATCAATATGCTACAGGACTCCGCTGGTAATAATAATAATCCTTGCATTTGATATAGCGCCTTGTCTCATCTTTGAGACATTTCAAAGCACTTCACTGCAAAGTGAATTGACTCTTTTTTTGTGGGCGAAAGGCGGCAGCCAATTGCGCACAGCAGTGTCCCACAAACCGCAATGGATTGAGTGTCCAAATTTTTTGTTAAAAACACTGCAAACGAGAATAATTTTGGGAGACAACAAAATGTGGACACACACACACACACTGGTTCCAGATATGAATAAAAGTAGCAGTAGTCAAACAAAAGTGGACAGCAGAGCGAGCTAGCCCCTGGCTTTCTTCTGGATGAAGATCTGGATGAACAGATATGAAATGGAAGCACCCACCTTGGGAGTGTAAGGCGTGTCACACAGCCGCAGCTTCTGGCAGTTGTTGCACTGAGGAGGGGTTCCAGGACACTGCCTGGTGCTGACATCTAGGATGCGGAGCTTGGCGGGGCGGGGAGTGCCCCTGTCCACGGGAAGAGGAGCCAACATGGTCCCCATCGGGAAGCGGCTGAAGGGGGAAGAGGGCTGCCACCTGGAAGGCATGTCCAGCTGGGGATCTCCCTGCAGGCTCAGCAGGTCCATGTGGCTCAGGTGCTCCTCCATCTCCTCGCCCTCCTCATCGCTGGAGAAGTGCAGTTTCTGGGCAATGACGCTCAAAGCCAAGTGACTCATGTTCTCTCCTCACTGCTGGGCTGGAGGGTAGCAGATTTCTTGAATGATTAGAGATTTTTTTCTCTCTTTTTTCCCTCTTTCTCTCTTGCAAGCTCCTGGATTTGGAGATTTGTTGATCTACGCCTGGAAAGAGAACGTTTTTTTTAACAAATATCCAATTCAGTGAATTGACTGGTACTTTCTGATCATTAACCTGGGATTTCTAAAGGCTTGTGAGGATTGTCAGGTTCGCAGCAATTGGAGGAAAGCAGAAACGAGAGAGATTCTCACCAAACGATTCCTCCTCCCCCACTCAATTCTCTGCTGAGGAAAAAATTGCTCTCGTTCTCATCAGATCTGCCTTTTTATACCCAATCCACCCCTCCCCCACCCCATCCCCGCTCGGGACAGAAAAACGTGTGAATGTGTGTCCAGCCTGGGAAACAGCTGGGAATTGTTGACTGAAACACTGGACACTCCCCCATGGGGAGGGAAGGGAAATCCAGATCAGAGAGAGATCAGAGAGACCAAATGTGAGCAGTGAAGCCCTGCACCACTGAGTCACTGTAAATAACATATAGGTTCTTGCTTTCTTCTCAGTTAATAATAATAATTATCATGCTTACATGTGGTACAGTGCCTTTTACACCTGGAGGATCCCACAGCACAGAGCTTCACAGACTGCGAGGTGGAGAGCGATTTCCGTGCTTTGTGGACAAATGCGGCAGCCAATTTGCACACACGACGTCCCACAAAATCTGTTGATGGGACATGTCCATTTTGGAAAAGGGTAAATCACAGAATTTACTATTAAGTGTCCTGACTTATTTTGCAGCCAATTTACACACAACTGTACCCCATAAACAGCCACGGAAACCAAGGAAACTTCCTTCTCTTTTCCAAAAGTGCCACAGGATCTGTAACGTCCAACAGGCACAGAAGGAAGCTCGGTTTAACGTCTCGTCTAATGAATAGAATCTCTGACAATGCAGCGCTCCCCCACCCCCCACCCAGCGCTGCACCAGAACATCAGCCTGGATGTGAGCTCAGAGCTCTGGCGGGACTCAAGAGTTTGGGCTGTATTTCTACAGCACTGTTTTTGAGACAGGAGTTGTCTTTCAGAAGCTTTTGCAATGTTAACGAAGAGTTATGTTGTAAAATTGACTGGCTGATAATTGGCCTTTCTCTCTGCTGCTTATTGTCTGTGTAACATGAGGTTCCTGCTTTTCCTTTGATCTGATGTGACATGTGAAGTCTACTCAAAACACAGAATAGAACTTCTACCCACTCCTTTGCTGTCCCAGACAAAAATGCCATTCACTTACTCCATGCTGTTATTGGGATGTTACAGTGCGAAAAATTAGCTCCCGCATTCACTTACAAGATACACAGTCACTAGACTTAATATATCCTGCGATGCACTTTGAGATGTCCTCTTAACAGGAGGGACATGAAGCAGGCCACCATTTGCTGAGCAGAGAAAATAGCCAGGATAGCAAGATTGCAGAGGTTCAGACTCAGAGGTAGGGCAGGATCACTCACCGACAAAATCACAGTTACTACACTTCACAATAATTCCTGTGGAGAGCTTCCAGACATCTGAACGACATGATTGTGCACAATATAATTGTAAAGGCCCTGTCTTTGAGTGGTTTAGGTCGTACCTCTCCCACCGTCTTCACTTTGTTTCCACGAACGGCTTTTCCTCCAGCCCCCGCACTGTAAATTGGCTGTGGGAGAGATTGGATAACATAGAAATTGATGTTGACGAGGGTGTCACTTACTGCTTACTGCTTGAATGGGGCGAAAGAGGAACCAGGACAGTGTGACTGAGTCACACAGATTGGAGAGTAACTATCCATGCATTTTATATGATATACCAATATTTTGATATATCACCTTCAGTAAAACTGTCAACTAGTTCCCCTTCTGCTGTGCAATTTACCAGTGTCAGAGGAACGAGCTATGAATAACAATTAGACAGGCTAGGGCTTTTCAGCCTCTAAACATGATATCTCAGTCGGAACATTAGATGTATAAGATGGGTGAGAAAGTAAACACGGAACAACAATAATTTGCATTGAAATAGTACCTTTCAAACGGGTAGCATCTCGGAGTGCTTAACAGCAGTGTGAGTTGACGTGGAAACAGAAAGGGAGGATAGGCAACCAAAGGCAGGATCAAAGAGGAAACTCTTCAGGTCTTATTTGAAGATGGGGAGAGAGTGGTCAAGACGGAGGGATTGAGGCAGGGATTTCCAGAGATTCAGGGTGTAGTGGAACAACAAGATCTTACAAATATAATAACTCGTTTATAAACTGTGGTGGGCAGATGGTATAGAAGGTATTGTGGAGGGTTGCGATCAAATGGGCCTTGCTTATCTGAATCTATTTTGTGACGAGATTTCCTTCCCTCTTCACCGACATTGTGCCTTTTTTGTTACTGATGCATTATTGTTCGGTTGCTTCCCCCTCCCACTGCAGGTGCTCTCACACAATCTGTGCACAGCGCTCAATGTCCCCCACAACACTGCAGCCTTGGAGGAGCACTTTCTAGGGATAATAAAAAAAAATTGGGTCACTCAATTCATGATTGTTTGTGAGACACCGTTGTTTGCAATTGGCTGCCACATTTTGCACATAAAACAGTCAATTCACTTGACAATATATTCTGTGAAGCACTTTGAGACATTTCAATGACGTGTTAAGGCACTATATGAATAACAGTTGGGTTCCTACTTACTGCTAGGTAAACAGAGCGGGTAGAGTAAGGAAACTTACCGAAGATTTTTTCCTGCCCAGGAATCAAATTTGGTGCCTCTCGCTTGCGAGGCGAGTTCTCTAACCAATACACTGCAGGAATCCATATATACAGTCAGAGATAGCGAGAGGAGTGAGGGGGCAGAGACTGACGAAGTAAAGTCATGGAGGAAGGTAATTGACGGTGAGAACGAGAAGATTAGAGAATCCAAGTCTCATTTCTCGGCCCTTCCTATCATTGCCAGCTCCTGTGCACAAGAGCTTTGAAATGTGACCTCGGTGATGTGTGCCTCTGTGATTCCAGGTTGAAGAGGGACGTTTTGTCAAAGAGAATTGCAACGAACTTTGCCGGATGCTGACCGCAAAAAAAAAACTACAACCACAACGGAACAGGGCTCCTCTCAGAGAGAGACACCTTCAAGCTGTGGTGCCTGTTCAACTTCCTATCTGAAGACAGCTACCCTCTGGTCATTGTCAAAGAGGAGGTGGGTTGCTTTCAAAGCCCTCCACAGCCTTGCTCCTCCCTACCTCTCTGACCTGATGACTCCTTACCGACCTGCTTCCTGCTCTCTCCACTCATTGGGCTCCGCTCTGCCTGCCCCACCATCAGTAATGGGCCTTCAGCATTTCTGCCCCCACTCTTTGGAACTCCATCCTACAGTCCCTTCGCCTCGCCCCCTTCCTTGCCTCCTTTAAGGCCCGCCTCAAGATCTTCCTCTTTGGTCATCTTCCTACCCCAATCCCCTTTGCCCTTCACCTCTCCTGATCCCAAACCCATTCTTGGGTCCAAATCCCTAACTGTCCAGCATCTTGGGACATCCTCCCAAGTGAAAGGCACAATGCAAATGCAATTCATTGTTGTAGTAGTTGAGTTTCTGAAGTCTCATTGGGGTCTGAGTGGGTTGCATAGTGCTTGTTTTGTGAGGTGAATCAGGTGTCTTTACCTAACAGTAAGTAGGAACCCGGTTGTTAGGTGATTGGCAGATCACTTTTGCTGTGGTAATAGTTCCTTAAAATAAAGTAATAATAATAAATTGGTCTCTCAATCCACGACTGTTTGTTGGACACTGCTGGGCCCAATTGACTGCCACGTTTCAATTATTATCATCAGTATTATTAATAATATAAATATATAAATGTGTTCTGCTGGATTTAAGCTTTCAACTTCATTGCTGGTGGGATACAGGACTTAATAATAATAAGAAATCTTGTATTTGAAACAACGCCTTATCACGTCGTTGAGAAGTCTCAAAGCGCTTCACAGAATATACTGTAAAGTGAATTGACTGGATTTTGTGGACAAAAAGCAGCAGGACTTTGAGGACACAGGTTTAGAGTTTGCAAAGGGAAATTTTAAGACAGACACCAGGAAGATTTCTTTACCGGTGTCTTTATCTACAGGTTGCCTAACCCTAACCCAAGCTTCTGACTGAGGGGCAACAGTGTGACTGACTGAATCAGTCTAAACAACATACATGGCCTCCTGCTCACACTGACTTCCTGCAGGGTTATATGTGGAAAAAGGGCCACGTGCGATGGAACTGGAATGAACGCTGGTTTATCCTGAAGATTTGTTGCATCTCGTATTATATTAACGAGGATCTCAGGGAGAAATCCTCCTGGATAAGGACAGCAGAGTCCAGGTAAAGACCCAAGTTCTGTGGGGGGTGGGGCGGAGGACAGACTCCAAGCTGCAATGTAACAGTATCCAGGGATCAACCTGTGTCTTGTGGAGTGAGGAAACTGGTATAAGGCTTTGCCCAGGAATCAAACCCATTTCCTCTCGCTTTCGAGATGAGTGCGTTAACCACTGTGGACAGGACTCCACAATAGGTGCGAACGACCTTGTAGAGATTGTTTTCTGGGTCAATGAGCACCGTTTTCACCGACATTTATCAGTCAGAAAAACCACGCAGATTTCACAAGCACTTAGTTGGTGAGATCTAAAACAGATTAGAAACTCAAACTGTCAGAGAAGGGAGTGAGGTGCCCCAATCACTCACTTGCTTGCACACATGCTTACATATAAACACACGAAATGCAACTCTCATAGTGGCAACAGGGAAAGCTCTGGAACCCTGACCTTCTTCGACATCTGATAGCAGAACGCTTCCAGGTATTGATTCTGCGGTTGGAAATGTGCCAGCAGCATACAATATCGCATACTTTGTCAGCTGAGAGTTGTGCGGTTTTCCTTTCATGAGTGGCATGAGCATCTTTAGTATTTCCGCGCAGTAGTCTATATTTAGAAAGGGTCAAGAAGCTTTTGTTACAAAGCACTTCTACTCTCCTGGTAATGTCTTCAATGAATGCATTTATTAAAGCTCCAATTATGGTCACTCGCAAGAGGACCCAGGTTCAATTCCCAAGCAGAGCGAAACCTTAGGTAAGTTTCCTTATTCCATGCCTCTGTTTACCCAGCAGTAAGTAGGAACCTGGTTGTTAGTCAATTGGCGGATCGCTTTCCGGGGATAATAATCCCTTCAAAAAGATAATAATGATAATTTAGTCATTCGATCCAGGACTGTTTGATGGACACTGCTGTGAGCAATTGGCTGCTTCGTTTCACCGACAAAATATACAGTCAATTCACTTTACAGTATATTCTGTGAAGTGCATTGAGATGTCTCAACGATATGGTGAAGCGCTACATCAAATGCAAGGATTATTATTATGGTTAGAATTGACTGTATGACCTTAAAATAATAATAATAATCCTTGCATTGATATAGTGCTTTACCACATTGTTGAGGCGTTTCAAAGCGTTTCATAGGATATACTGTAAAGTGGATTGACTGTGTGTTTTGGGGGCAAAATGCGGAAGCCAATTATGCACAGCAGTGTCCCACAAACAGTCGTGGATTGAAAATGACCAATTTATTATTGTTTTTTTTCTTGAGGGATTATTATCAGGGGTGTGGAGTAAAGAAATTTACCCAAGGTTTCACCCTGCTGGGAATCGAACCATCGTTCACCTTCAAAAATCAGAGTGACACAGCTCCACAGTGAAATCCTGTGAAGCGCTTTGAGACATGATAAGGCGCTATCATCAGATGTAGGGATTATTATTGTAGGATAACAATAACCTGTCCTTCCTGTTTCTGCAGCCACTTGCTGACAAAGAAGGGAACCGATGCCTATTCTGCATCAGAACATCAAACCGGAAGTATGAGATCAGTGCCTCGGACACCAAGTGTAGGCAGGAGTAGATCACCTGTGAGTACAACAACAATAACTTGCATTTGTACAGCATCCTTCTCACATTCTAGTCTCTTGGAGAACCTAAGGCTGAGACTGATAGATTCTTGAAAAATAGAGGGATTAGGGGATATGGGGATAGGGCAGGTAATCAGAGTTAGGTGAGAAGATCAGCCATGATCCTATTGAATGGCGCTGCAGGCACGAAGGGCCGAATGGCCTACTCCTGCTCCTAATTCTTATGTTCTTATGTTCTTATGTTCTAAGTGGAGTGGTGGAGTCTGATGCTGAGCCAAGGGAGGTGACCGTAGGCATGGTCGAAGAGGAAGGTCTTGAGGTGTGATCTGAAAATGATTTAAGGAGGGGGCATGGCGGAGGGATTGGGGGAGAGAGTTCCAGAGTTTCGGGGTATAGTGGCTGAAAGCACAGCCGCTGATGGCGGAGAGGAGGCAATGATGGACATGCAGGAGTCTAGAATGAGTAGTCAATGTCCATGCTTTTATGCCGGGAGGGGTGGGGAGGGCAGCATGCCATGTTTGGGAGTGTTGTTCAGTTTCCATTCTGCGTTAAACCAACACAAGCTGGGTTAGCCAGAAGCTCAGTGCTGAGTGACTGCCCGTCTTCAGAGTGACGATTTGTGTTCTGTGCCTTTGTCTCAGAGATACGGAATGTGGGTCCTGTGTTTGTCTCAGAGATTTTAAGATGATAGCCTGCCTCAGTTGGTCACCTTTTTTCCTCTTGAGTCAGAGGATTGTGGGTTCAGCAGTGTCAGGACTTTGAGCTCTCAGTCCAGGCTGATACTGCAGCACGATGCTGACGAGAGTGCTGACTTGTCAGAGGTGCCATTCTTCAAAAAGCGGCATTCCACGTTGCAGTACTTTCGGGGTAAAGTGACTGAAAGCACAGCCGCTGATGGCGGAGGGGACGAGGGACATCCAGGGGATCTGAATGAGATGTTTCCCTTCCTCCCCACACCCACGCACCCCACTGATGTGAAAAGTACAATATCAAGGCAGATTCTTACCGTGCGGATGAGACTTTAAGCCGATATGTCCAGGCAGACGTTGAAGATTCCATGACAGTATTCGAAAAGAAAAGGGAGTTTTCCCCGTGTACCGGCCAACAATCCCCCAAGTAAAATTGATCACTCACTCTACGGCTGTTGGTGGGACATTGTTTTGTGCAATTGGGTGTCAAGTTTCACCCACAAAATACACTTTACAATATATGATGTGAAGCGCTTTGATAGGTCTCAATGACATGATAAGGCGCTATAATCAAACTCAAGACACTGCTGTAGCTGCTGCAATCATCCACAAAGTAAAGAGTCACTTCACTGTACGATGATTCTGTGTGAAGCTCTTTAGATGACAGGTGAGTTACAGACTGAATTACAGGTACTGTGTTAAATTGCAATGGTTATTGCTATTTGTATCACTCCTGTTACTACAGGCATCAGCACAGCCTTCCAGGTGCTGAACAAGCCCTCGCTGCACAAAAAGCAGAAAGCAAGGCGCCGGGAGCAGCGGGAGGAGATAGTCAGGAAGCAGCGGGAGCTGGAGCTCCAGCAGCTGAAGGAGCTGCAGGAAGTAAAGGAGATGCAACTCCAGCACCTGGAAGAGCTGAGACAGGTCTGTGCACCACCGGTCCCCACTGAGCAAGCAGTCAGGCTGAGCTCAGAGGGACATCGTGGAGTCCTGCAGCTCAGTGCTTAGAGATTTCGGCTCACGAGAGTGAGGACCCAGGTTCGATTCCTGGGTGTGGCAAAACCTTAGACAAGTTTCTTTACTCCACACATCAGTTTACTAGCAGTAGGTTGGAACTCGGTTGTTAGTTGATTAGCGGATTGTTTTCCAGGGGTAATAATCCCTCCAAAATAAATAATAATAATAGTGTGGTCGCTTAACCTACAACTGTTTGTGGGCTGCTGCTATTCGCGATACATCCACATGAACAGCAAAGACGGGATCTCAGTTGAATGTCTCATCCAAAGGACAGCACCTCTGACTAATGTCATTGTTCTACGTCGTACCTTCCTAGAGCACTTTCTCTCTATTTTGAGGTCACTTTGTTACCTCCAGATGTCAGTGAATACCTCTCAGCTGATAAAATTTGTACCTCCGGTCCTCTCAGTGATAAATATAACACTCTCTCAGACTTTAATCAATTAAGCATTTATTCATGGTTATCATTAGACAATAGTCAAGTTAGCAAGGCTTGAATATTACACTTCAGGTTTAAAGCAATGAGCAAAAACTATAGAAGGATCCTATTATACTCACACTTTGCTGCAAGCCTCTTTTTATTATACTCACTTTCAGTAGAAGTCAAGGGTGTTTTCTTCAGGTAGCAAGCTCAGGCAATCTCTCCCCCTAAGGCAGTCTCTTGATCAGCAGGGGTTCAACACTCAATCTGTAGCTGGGATATCTGCCCCGAAGTGCTGACCTTGGAGTCCTGTAGCTCAGTGGTTAGAGCACTCGCTTTGCAAGTGAGAGACCTGAGTTCAATTCCAAGCAGAGCGAAACCTTGGGCAAGTTTCCTTACTCAACACGACTAATAATAATCCCTCCAAAAAAACAAAACAATAATAAATTGGTCATTTTCAATCTACGAGTGTTTGTGGGACACTGCTGTGCGCAATTGGCTGCTGCGTTCGCCCACAAATATGCAGTCAATTCACTTTACAGTATATTCTGTGAAGCACTTTGAGACATCTAGAAGACGTGAAAAGTGCAATATCAAATGCAAGGATTATTATTATTGATCACTTTAGGCAGGAAGTTTAAAGAGCGCGATAGATCATGGATTGGCTTGATTCTCCTGCAGTATTTCCCGTGGGGAAATGAATTGCTCCAGCTGTGCATTATCAAGTGCTGTAGTTTTCTGTGCACATGAGACAGCTACAGCAACTCTAGCCTGCTTTAGGAAACCCCTAACATTTTATTATGCTCTGGTTCAGACTCATTGCTCGTAATATATTCCCAGTCTGGACTATTCTCATTATGATTTCCTGGCTGAAGGATTAACGTAAATTCAGCAAACTAATTATATGCTTACTAGGCATTCACATACACTTTTCAGTATGGGACAGCTCCTAACTCAACCCTACACATCATGGCAAGCTCTTCATGAGTAATACCATAGGGTAGACCCAATGCAGCATCAACCGCACCCCCAACACCCCTGCATTTCACTGGAGTCCTTTTGGAGTTGGAGGCTGAAGCACTTCAAGTGGTGTGTGAGACAGAGGAGGAAAGAGCAGGAGGAGATGCAGCGAGCCTTGCAGAAGAAACTGCAGGAAGTTGAGGAGGTGAGAAGTCTTGTTGGCCCCAAACAGTGTCACCGATGTGCACAACAGAGCTAACATTGCATATACACAGGCATTAATACTTCCTTGACTGTCCTCACCGATACCCTTTTATCATAAGAATGATCTTTGCATTTGATAACAGAGCCTTATCACGCAAAAAAACTTCTCAAAGTATTTTGCAGGACTTCACCCTAAAGCACGGTGTTGCGGGCGAACACGGCAACCAATTTGCACACAGCAATGACTCGCAAATAGTTGTGGAGTGAATTTTATCTGGAGAAATGTCAGTCTGATGACCAGGCCCCCAGGGCCCAGTTGAGCCTCTGATTATTATGATAATAATAATAATCCTTGCATTTGATATAGCACCTCATCACCTCAGTGAGATATCTCAAAGCATTTCAAAGTGGATTGAATGTGTATTTTGTGGGCGAAAGAAAGCAGAGCGTTGCGCACAACAACATCCCACAGACAACCATGGAGTGAGGGACCAATGTAATTTTTATTTGGAGGATTGATGCCCATCAGGCTCGCCCAGTCCCCAGCTTCTGGTCAGGCCTCCGAAGCCTGGTTAGGCCCGGCCTGACTTGACCCCAATATCAGGCCCAATCCAGATGTGTACGTGGAGTGAGGTGCACATGTATGGGTGTCATTGCCATTCCGTTGTACATTGTTCAATCCATAGCTGTCATTGATTGTTTTCTCTTGCTCCCTGCCTTGAGGCCAAGTCCACGATGCGGATGGAGTTGGCACAGAAAGAGGTGGAGGCTGAGAAGCAGAGTCAGAGGATCCAGGAGCTGGAAAAGGTGCAGCTTGGGCTGGAGGAGGCCTTGGAGGCTGAAATGCAGGCCCGGGCAGATGAGCAGGCTGTCCGCTCAGTGCAGGCCAGGTGAGTTCATGTGAAGCAGCACTGTGTGGTAAGCTACTGTGTTGAGTCAGTGTAAAGTGCACAGCCCCATCGTCAGTGAATCCAGGCAACAACGACAAATTGCATTTATATATGTTTATATATATATTTGAAGGAGGCAAGGGAGGGGGTGAGGCGGAGGGATTCCAGGATGGAGTTCCAGATTGTGGGGGCAGAAAGACTGAAGGCCTGACCTCCGATGGTGAGGCAGACAGGGCGGGGGATGTGGAGCAGGCAGGTGCCCGCTGAACGGAGTGAGCAGATAGATTGGTAACATTTTAGGAAGCTGCAGAGGTAGTGAGGATGAAACTCAGTCCAGAGTGAAGAGGCTTGAAAAGAGGTTAAGAACAGAGGGTTCATATGCTCCTAATGTAAAGTGCAACCCTCTTCTTTTCTCTTTTTAATAAAAATAATAAATTTCAAACCCGGTGCAATATGCAAGATCCCTAGAATTCAGAGCTTGATTGTTGTACATTCTGGCAGATGCCATATCCAGGCAAGACATTGAACCAAGGTCCCATTTGCCTTTTTAGATTCCTACGGTGCAACTTGAAAAGAGAAGGGAGTTTCTCTCTCCCAGTGTACTGGTTAACAAACCCCAGACAAGATCGGTCACTCACTTCATGGCTGTTTGTGGGACACCGCCGTGCGCAATTGGCTGCCGCGTTCGCCCACAAATGTACAGTCAATTCACTTTACAGTGTGTTCTGTGAAGCGCTTTGGGACGTCCTCCCGACGTGAAAAGCGCTATATCAAATGCAAAGATTATTATTATTATTATTATTATTATCCTGTGAACTGCTTTGAGTCGTCTCAACAACATGATAAGGCACTATATCAAATGCATGGATTGTTGTTATTTTATTGATTTGAGACATCCCCCCCGATGTGAAAGATGCTGTATCAAATGCAAGTATTACTATTATTCACAATTGAATGTCACATAAAGAAATCTCTTGTTGAAAGTAATGGGTTGGACCACTCGCCATGTGTTATTTTCGGGGACTGACCTTTCAGGATCGGTCCAAACTCTGTCAAGACTGGTCCCAGGACAGGTGTTTGCGTGTCCGTGGGTCTATGTGTCCGTGTGTCTGTGTGTCCGTGTATCTGCGGGTCTGTGTGTCCGTGTGTCTATGGGTTTGTGTGTCCGCGGGTCTGTGTGTCCACGGGTCTGTGTGTCCGCGGGTCGTGTCCGCGGGTCTGCGTGTCCGCGGTTCTGCGGGTCCGCGTGTCCGCATGTCTGCGGGTCCGCGTGTCTGCGGGTCTGTGTGTCCGTGTGGCTGTGTGTGCACGTCTGTGTGTCTGCGGGTCTGTGTGTCCATGTGGCTGTGGGTGCACATCTGCGGGTCTGTGTGTGCGCGTCTGCGGGTCTGTGTGTGCACGTCTGCGGGTCTGTGTGTGCTCATCTGGGGTTCTGTGTGTGTTTATATTGGTCTGTGTGTGTGTACGTGTCTGTGTCTGCGTGTGTCCATGGGTGTGCACGTGCATCCGTGTGCGGGGTTGCGGCCTGATCCATGTTCCCCCACCTGGCTTGCCCCATTGTTGATGTTGAGGCCTTCAGCTTCTCGGCCCTCACCCTCTGGAACTCCATCATACATTCCCCTCCCCTTCGACCTCACCTTTGACCACCCTCGTATCCTCCTGATCCCAACTCACCTGCTCGGGTCCAAATCCCTGTCTGTCCAGCTCCTTGGGACATCCTCCCTACATGAAAGTTGCTGGACAAATGTAATTTTTGTGTTGATGGTGAAACTCTGTGTGTTTGTAACGTGTGTATGTGTGATGATGGTGATGCTCTGTGTGTTGAGGTGTATGTGTGATGATGATGTTCTGTGTGTTTGCAGCGTGTGTGTAATGATGGTGATGCTCTGTGTGTTTGCAGCGTGTGTGTATGATGATGGTGATGCTCTGTGTGTTTGCAGTGTGTGTGTGTGTGTGATGATGGTGATGATCTGTGTGTTTGCAGCGTGTGTGTATGATGATGGTGATGCTCTGTGTGTTTGCAGTGTGTGTGTGTGTAATGATGGTGATGATCTGTGTGTTTGAGGTGTATGTGTGAGATGGTGATGCTCTGTGTGTTGAGGTGTGTGTGATGATGGTGATGCTCTGTGTGTTTGAGGTATGTGTGAGATGGTGATGCTCTGTGTGTTTGCAGCGTGTGTGTGATGATGGTGATGCTCTGTGTGTTTGCAGCGTGAGTTTGATGATGGTGATGCTCTGTGTGTTTGCAGTGTGTGTGTGTGTGTGATGATGGTGATGATCTGTGTGTTTGCAGTGTGTGTGTGTGATGATGGTGATGATCTGTGTGTTTGAGGTGTGTGTGTGAGATGGTGATGCTCTGTGTGTTGAGGTGTGTGTGATGATGGTGATGCTCTGTGTGTTTGAGGTGTGTGTGTGATGATGGCGATGCTCTGTGTGTTTGCAGCGTGTGTGTGATGATGGTGATGCTCTGTGTTTGCAGTGTGTGTGATGATGTTCTGTGTGTTTGCAGCGTGTGTATGATGATGGTGATGCTCTGTGTGTTTGCAGTGTGTGTGTGTGTGAGATGGTGATGCTCTGTGTATTGAGGTGTGTGTGATGATGGTGATGCTCTGTGTGTTTGCAGTGTGTGTGTGTGTGTGAGATGGTGATGCTCTGTGTGTTTGCAGTTTGCTGCAGGAGGAAGAGGAGAAGTTGGCAGAGCTAATGAAGCTGAAGACGGAACGGCAGGAGCTGAGCTTACAGGAGAGGGAGCAGGTGCCCCGGAGCAGGCAGCTTAATGACCAGCACCTCACTGTGAGCAAACCATGGGGAGATAGAGATTCATCAGTAGAGACAGTGATAAATGTGACGCTTCTCTCCCTCTTCCTCTCTGCTTTCATAACCCAGCTGAAGACTTGTTGAGAGAGGGAGTTCCATTGTTTTTAAGATTTGGGTCGTAGATTTTGAAAGCTTGGTGTCTGATGATGGCCCAGGGGGAGAGGGTGGATTTGCAGGAGGCCTGAGGTGACTGAGTGGAGAGGATGAGCTGAGGGGTAGGGTTGCTCCCCTCCCGCAGGTCACAACGGGGTTAGAGGGGCTCTTCTGTTTGGGTTTTGATGTTTATTGTTCTCTTTCCCCAGACGGCCCAGAAGAAACTGAGGCGTGCGTCTCGCTACGTCAAACATTGGAATATCCAATTGAACCGACTGATGCAACCAGTAACACCCGGGGGTCAGTTATTATAATAATAATCCTTGCCTTATATTGTCGAAACATCTTAAAGTATTTCACAGGATATACTGTAAAGTGGATTGACACTATTTTGTAGGCAAAACGCAGCAGCCAATTTGCATACAGCAATGTCCCATACACAGCCATGGAATGAGTGACCAATTTTAATTGGGGGATTGTTGGTCAGGATGCCGGGAAAGTGAAACTCCCTTCTCTTTTCCAATCGTGTCGTTGGAGCTTTAACGTCCACCTGAACAGGCAGACAGGACCTCGGTTTAACATCTTATCCGAAGGACAGCATCTCCGACAATGCAACACACCCACAGCACGGCATTGGAATGTCAGTTTAGATTATGATTCCAAGTCCTGATATGGGGCTTGAACCCACAACCTCTGACTCAGAGACGAGAGTGCTACCACTGAGCCAGGCTGACACATTGAAGCAGCACTGAGAAAGAATGGTTCGGGGAAGTAAGCAGTATTCAGGCACTGTTGTTTGAGAAAGCCAATACAATTTCCATCTCAAGCTTTGAGACCCTATTGTGCATGAAGGGTGCTGCAAGTTGCTGTTATTGCAATAGTGCTTTCCGGTCAAATTGATTTACACTGCTGGCTGTGGGGTACCCAAGGTGGGACTGGAAGATTAATAGGGAGGGGAGCGTGATCAAACGAACGACCAGAGAGGTTAATCTTGCGCTGCGCTTTGAAAACGAGGATAGAGAGATAGAGAGGAAAGAGAGGTAGGGAGCGAGTTGGCGGGTCTCCAGGATGGAGGTTCAAAAAATGGGGGAAGCTGAAAGCCATGAACTAATAATCATAAAAATAATAAGGCAGCTTGGGCATTGTGGGTTTAGCAGTGGATTTACTGATAGGAGCACAGAACAGGGTTAATGGGAGCTGAGTGGGAAACATTTCTGCCCCGGCAAATGCTCATGACTAGCCAGGCTGTTCTCCACAGTGCGGATCCTCCTGGCTTAAAAACTGGACAACTGAGATGCCCAGAGGGTGGACTTGATTCTGACACCTTTCAGAAGAGATGATAAAACCAAGGCGTGGTCTGGGCCAATTTCATGGAACCTAAAAATCCTGCGACACTACTGGATAAAAGAAGGGAGTTTCTCCTTCTCAATGTTCTGACTAATAACGTCTCAGATAAATCAGTCACTCATCTCCATGGCTTTGAGGGACCTTGCAGTGTCCAAATTGGCTGCTGCGTTTCGCCCACAAAATAGTCACTCCACTTTACAGTGAATCCTGTGAAGAGCTTTGGATGTCTTGATTGAGGTGAAAGTGTGGATTAAGGTTGTTATGCACTGTGTGTATTGCAGTTGCCCACGATCCTCAGTAGACCAGCAACGTATTCAGCCACCGAGGTGGGGGAGCCTTCATACCCAAGGAGTTCAGCATTAAGAGGAGGTTTCGGAGGGAGAACAAGAATGCAGACAGTGACCAGCAGCTCACCAGGAGGAGCTCAGAGTCTTCATCCGAGGAGAACATCAGTGAGCAACTGAAGGAGGTCACTCTGCAACAAGCCACCTCCCTGTAGCTCTAGGGCAACAAGTTTTATTTCAGTGCCTTGGGATGTACTCCCGACGTAAAAGGCACTATACAAATGTCATTTTGTTGTTGTTATGCGAGAATAAAATACCTGAGGGCAGGACCTCAGTGAAGACACTGTAAAACAGCAAGGTCCCAGCATGGCCCCCAAAGCCTCAAACCAAGTGCTTGTCAAAGGATTTTCCCGCAAGGATGCATATGTGAGACGCTTTCCTGCATGAAGGCTGCTATTGTAAATGCAATTTGTTGAATATATTACACCCCCGATCTTTCCTTTCAATATTTATTGGTTGTAATGTGGATTTATTTATTTGATACACCGGGGGCCCCAACTAGTCGATGGCTGCGAGGTACTGTCTTGTGAATGCACAAAAAAAACAAAAGCAGGAGAGATTTCACCAGTGTAAGCAATAGTTTATATTTTATTTTGAGATGCATGAAATACTTTGTGCATACTTTGTTTACAATTGGATCAATAACTAGTTCCTTTCTCTTATCTTTTTGATCATGCTCCACAGCTGCATCTAACAGCCTTGTATGGTTGGAGACCACCTGGCCTATGTGAATGGTGCTATATAAATAGAAGTTGTTAGTGTTTATTTGTTGAATGAGCGCTGTTGACATTTGCAAAAAGCCTGGGAAGAGGTGCCAGACAGCACGTGCAAGGGAACTGAGTTCACGTCTGACATAGAAACCAACTATTTCTACTTCAGTCACTTCTTTTATCGTATGTGTTCATTCCCTAATGAAGTGGATTCCTGTAGCTCAGTGGTTAGAGCACTTACCTTGCAAGTGAGAGACCTGGGTTTTATTCCTGGCAAAATGTTGGACAAGTTTCCTTACTCCACATTCCTCTGTTTACCTAGCAATAACTAGGAACCCAATTATTAGTCGATTGGCGGATCGCTTTTCCGGGGCTGATAATTCCTTAAAAAAAATTGGTCACTGCATTCCACGACTGTTTGTGAGACACTGCTGTGCACAATTGGCTTCCGCATTTCGCCTACAAAACAGTCAATTCACTTTACAATATATTCTGTGAAGCGCTTTGAGAAGTCTCGAAGATGTGATAAGGCACTATATCAAATGCAAGTATTATTATTAAGTGACCATTGGGGGCACAAGAGTATTAGTTTTCTCAAATACCCGGTTGGACACACGCAAGAATCCATCACCTAGAGAATCGCTGAACTGAACTACTGAAAATCACGCTTGTGTATGGTTTCCTAAATCTCAGAGTTTAGGTACAGAAAGATCAAAAACTTCAGCTTCTGTGCTACTCCCAATGTGTGCCTTTAACCAGCTAAAACCGCATAACTTACCATTGCAGAGAGCTGCCCCATACATCAGGGCTTTCACCAATTTTATTTGAGGGATTGTTGGCCAGGACATTGGGAGAAACTCCTTCCTTTTTTCAAATCGTGCCATGGCATTGTTAACTTCCACCTGAATAAGCAGATGGGACCTGTTTTAACATCTCATGACTGCAATGGAGTGCACAGTTCCAAATTCAGATATGGGGCTTGAACCACAACCTTCTGAGGTGACAGTGCTATCAACTGAGCTAGGCTGAGACACATAATTTCAGAGACATCACTAAAAGAGGAAAGAACACTGAATTGGGAAGGGATGTTGGCAGCTTGTGCAACGTGAAAATTGCAGATTAATATTAATGATCCTTGACATCTCAAAGTGCTTCACAGAATATTCAGGACAGTGAATTTATTGCATATTTTGCACGCAAAATGTAGCAGACCAATTTGTTTTAAGGGATTACCCCCGGAATGCGTTCCACCAATCGACTAACTGGTTCCTCTTTACTGCTAGGTAAACAGTGGCATATGGAGTAGGGAAATTTGCCTGTTTTCGCCCCACCTGGGAATTGAACTCAGGTCTTCTCGTTTTCGAGGCGAGTGCTCTAACCAATACGCTACAGGAGTCCACTTCACAATTGAGTTTACTTGATAGTACAGGGAATAGGATTGTGATGGGTCTCAGACGGTGATACCTGCTGGCTGATCATGAGGTGGCCTGGGATGTCCCTCAGCGAGAGGCAGGAGGCACCAATGGTCGAGAGAAGAGCAGAATTAAGCTTATGAGGGGCTGATTTGAAAGTAATTCGTGGACTGACATATCTAAAGCAGAATTTAGCTGTGATCCAGTCACTTGCTTTCATTATTTTCCTGGTGGTTTCTGAGCATATCTACTTTGCTCCAAACCACCTGACTGGGAACAGAAAAACATTGAACAAACTGCAATGCGAGGTGTTTAAATTTCCACTTACTTTGCCACTTCTTTGTGTTAGGCAGCGCTTTGGGACGTCCTCCTGACGTGAAAGGCGCTATACAAATGTATTTTTGTTGTTGTTGAGGCGGACCTGGGTGAGATTTGGTACCGACTGGGTGTTTGGAATGGGGACGTGTTCCTGCTCCTCTGCAAACAGAATGGTGCAGAAGGCTGGAATTTCTTCCAACAATCCCCCAAATTAAAAAATGGCTGTTTTTGGCACATTTACTGTGCAGAAATTGGTTGCCATGTTTGCCAACAAAATACATTGTGTGATATATTGAATGTGAAAGGAACTGAATGTTCAGCCAAGCGAGATGGGGAATATGTGCACAAAGAAGATGCTAAATAACCATATATAAAAAACTCGAAGGAGGCAAGAGAGGGACAAAGGGATTTCGGGATAAAGTTCCAGAGTGTGGGGGCAGAGATGCTGAATGCCTGACCACCAATGGTGGGGCGGGAAGTACTGGGGGTCCTGAAGCAGGTGCCGAGCGGAGGGAGCGGATAGGCTGATGTGGGGTTAGGAGGTTGGAGATGTAGGGGGTAGGGCCTGTGGAGGGTTATGAAGGTGAGAACAAGAGTTTTGTTCTCGATTCTCTGAGAGATGGAGTCGGGCAAGAACGGGGGTGATTGGTTCGCGCTGAGGATGAACAGTTTCTGATTATTTTTATAATATCTGGACTTTTGGCATTCCCAATCATTCACAAACCTGCCTCCATCTTGGTCAAAATGAGAAAAAAAAATTCTATCATCTCAATATCATCATCCATGCCCTGACCCACTCTACCTTGCCCCACCTTCGCAAAATCACCCAGCTCCTTCTCTGACGCATCCCTCAGGCCGCCGAAGCCCTCATCTACACATTCATCACATCTACACCAACTCCCTGATTGTCGGCCTTCCCAACTCTTCCTTCCACAAGCTGCAGATCATCCAGAACGCTGCAGCTCATGTCTTCTCCTGTACCAGCCTCCATTGCCCCATCACCCCCACCCTCACCCGACTCCACTGCCTCCCCATTCCCGAGGTTAAGAGTTAAAAATCCTCGTCCGGCCTTGCTCCTCCCTACCTCTGCGACCTGCTGCCTCATTTCAACCTGTCCACTCTCTCCATTCAGCAGGCTCTGCTCTGCGTCCTCCACCCGGCTGCCCCACCATCGGCAGTCGGGCCTTCAGCCTCTCTGCCCCACCCTATGGAACTCCATCCCGCATTCCCTTCGCCTCGCTCCCTCCCTTGCCTCCTTCAAGGCATCTCAAAACCCTTCTCTTCGAGCGAGCCTTCAGGTACCCTCCTAAGTCTCTGCCCTGCACCCTCCCCGATCCCAACCCCCAGCTTGGATCCAAATCCCTGATTGTCTCGCATCTTCGGAAGTCCTCCCGATGTGAAAGACACTCTCCAAATGTAATATTTTATTGGTCGTAGCAAGCTCTAGGCACCTTCATAACTATAGAGTGGACCCTGTTGGTAAAAATTGTACATCTGGTTATTTCCATCATTTCCTTTAGCCATGATTGCAACAACCATTTCTTTTAATTCTCCCATCCTCCACCAACAAAGGCTTGATTAGAGTCATAGATAAGTGTTATTCTGAGGCAGGTTTATTTTTTTAAAAAAGGAGGAAATTCCTCAAGTGGCAATTAAAAGGTATGGTCAAATCACTTTTGAGAATGTGACTGGATACAGCACCTATTTGTAGACCACTCAACCGATTACGTTTTCACTTTACAGTTAAAGCAAACAGAGTAACTGGTCAACTCAAAGTCCTGATCATAAAGCAGAATTTATAGAGCCACGTGCCTCATGAAACTGCTGAGACGGTCAGAAGACTGCCTTGATTCCTGGCAGAATCTCTATTACAACCCACAAGTCGGATAAAACCTCCCTCACAACTGTCTAAAGCCAGTTTGTTTTCCATGATTGTCGGTGAATAAGTCGACATTTGGTAAATTTTCTTCATAGTAGTAGGATGAGCCAACATCAAAAGATTAACTTTGGGCAACCAACCATTCCTCTTGTAACATGCTTCCTGCCAAAAACATAAAGCAAAAATAATGAGGCCCTACTTTTATAGCTGTTTCGGCCAACAATCGAGATAAATGATCATTTGCTTCATGGCCATTTGTGGAACATTGCTGTGTGAATTGGCTGCTGCATTCACCTATAAAATGCACAAAGACATAAAAGCATTGCTAAATTCTTTGCATGCAGAATATTGTGGGACACTGCTGTGCGCAATTGGCTTCCGTGTTTCGCCCATAAAATATAGTCAATTCACTTTACAGTGTGTTCTATGAACAACACCACCAAATTTCATTTATAGAGCACCTTTCACATCGGGAGGACGTACCAAAGCGCTGGATAGTCAGGGGTCAGGAGCGTGGGGGAGGGGTGGGTGAGAGGCAGAGGTGGGAGGGTGACCGCAGGCACGATTAAAGAGTTGGGTCTTGAGACTGGCCTTGAAGGAGGCAAGGGAGAAAGTGAGGTGAAGGTACTGTGGGACAGAGTTCAAGAGTGTGGGGGCAGAGAGGCTCAAAGCTCGGCCACCGATGGTAGGGCGGGTCGGGTGGGAGGGAGCGGGCAGGTTGGTAAGGAGTCAGCAGGTCAGAGAGGTAAAAGGAAGGCCATGGATGGTCTTGAAAGTGAGGACGAGGATCTTGAATTCAATTCTCTGAGGGATGGGGAGCCAGTGGAGTCGGGGGAGGGTCGGGTCAAGGCGCCTGGTGAGCGAGCGTGCATGAGCTGCAGAGTTTTGGATGATCTGCAGCTTGTGACGGGAAGAGTTGGGAAGGCCGATGAGGAGGAAATTTCCATAATCAAGCCTTAATGTGATGAATGCCTGGGTAAGGGTTTCGGCAGCGGCGGAGTCTAGCAATGTTACGGAGGGGTGGTATGCAGTGCCAGTCATGGCGCAGATGTGGGGGAGAAAGGTAGTTAAGTCCTGTGAAAGGGAGTCCTGTGGCTCAGTGGTTA